TATTCTTGAACTGTAGTTCCAAAAATCCTAATAAGATAAGATCACTTTATTGGCCATATACAATTTCTTGCATTGGGAATTTGTCTTTTTGCATACCCCAACTTGCTCTCCATGAGACACACAGGCACACAGACAGGGAGAGAAGCTTGGGGTCAGAGCGCAGGGTCAGTCATTTATACGGCACCCCTGGAGCAGTTGGGGTTAAGGGCCTTGCTCAGGGGCACAACTGTGTAGAATTCCTCTGCTGGATGCAGGATTTGAACCAGCAACCTTCCAGCCACAGGCACAGATCTTTAGCCACAGTGCCACCCTTCCGCCCTATGCTCTCCCTAGCAGTAGGTTGCTGTAATCTCATGCAGGTTTATATAGAAGCTTTCGATTAAAAAATACATCCAAAAATGAGGTATTTTGTTAAGAAGTGCTAATCAAATAATTCAGGTGGTAATTAATATATGACTATATCTTTTCAAATATGAAAAGTACTCTGCAAAATGTGCTCTGTAGTAGGAGCTAATGAATCATACAAGGTGGTAAAGGAGAAAGCAGATGATAAGATATCTTCATTGTATATCAACAAGATTAATTGAGTACATAGAGCTCGTAAAAGGATATAAGGGATGGTGCAGGAACAGAAAACCACAGAATAGCGCTGTCTTCTGAAGCATGTATTGAAAGAAAAGAGGAATCATGCACTATGCAGCAGAGCTGTGCGACATGACTAATGCGACTCTACAGTGTGAGACAAATTACTTTTCTCTAAAACGTACAAAGCAGGGAGAACTGCTTTACGTTTCACCACAAAAAAAACTTTTTCCGTCTTAAAAGAGATGGCCAAGAGCAAAACAGCTGTACCGTGTTGCCTCCAATGAATCGTTTTAAATTGTTTCTCTTGGGAATAGCAGGGTGTTTTGATGCGTTATTTCTTTTATATTCTTTACAGTATGGCGATAAGTGATGCACAGGATACCACTGTTTTTTGTCTCTTCATCTGGACGGCTGATAGATTTCATAATGCTTTGTGTCTGTTTTTCATGCAGAAATGGTGTCTGAAAATGACAGAAATGTAATTGTAGAAGGGGTTACAAATGAGAGGAAAGCTTATTACTCATATACTCCGTTTGGGCGTTAGCAGTTAATTGACCCCAGGATCTCATCCAGCTGTTTGCTTGAAAGAGCAACAGCATGGCTGAATAGCTTGTTCCACACTCCTACAACTCCTGGGCTAAAGAAGTGCCTTCCATGTAGTTTCCATTTATTTCCTGTGGTTCATATTTTACTCTTCAATTGGAAGAGGTCCACAGGGTTGACTTTGTAAATGCCTTTGAGATTATTGAGTACTTGTATCAGGTGTAACATAATTTATTTAAGATACTTTAGGGCAAATACAGTAGCTGCCAGGGGCTGTATGTTTGTCCCTTGCGTTCCCTGGGATATACAGTATGCTGTGCAAAGAAAAAGTGAAGTGAAAGAAGTTTTCTTCCTGGCGAAAGGACTGTTCTGCGGTATTTTTCACAGGGTGACCTTCACATTGTGCAAACAGGAGAGAGCTCCTCTCACCGTGATCGTGTTCCTGCACTGCGGCATGTGACTAGTCAAAGGTTTAAATCTCCTGAGATGTCAAGGCAAATAAAGTACTCTTTTGTTTTTCTAACATACATCTTGTGGCTTGTAAAATCACACAGTAAGCTTGAACTAAACCTCATGCAGTAGGTCTTGTTTTTAAGGGGGTGCCTGTAGATACTTGCATAATATCTGTGTTTTATTGTCTTATACATCACATTAACAAGCAGTTATTGGAACGTCGCTTTGATTTAATATGTAGAATATAAATGGAGAATCCTTTAAGGATGCTTCCTACACAAACGTGCTGTTTAATACGATAAGTGCCACCTGCTTTTACTAAGCCATGCAAATGATTATATTATACTATTGTGAGCTGCCCATGGCCTGGATATTAACATGGAAGTTAACAAAGGGATTAATCTGGATAGGAAAATATTGAATATGTCTGCAACTCCTGCGTTTGTGGCAATAGACTTGCAGATTATCCGGTTGTCATTCCGTAGCCTGTGTGATTGTTAAATCGAGTATGCCGACCACATACATTAATACACAGTTTATACGTGAGCAGTTTTTGACAACAATAGATTTGCTGGCCATGCATAAGCATTTGTTTTCTATATAAATTCTTTTAACCATTTGTATACATTTAGGCTTTTTGTTTGAACAAAATCCTTAAAACATGTCTTTGTAGACTGAAGGGTATCCTGACTTAATATTCTTAATACCCTGACTTGATATACAGTATCTTAATATTCCCGTAAGGTTTTGGTATATCAATAATTTGAAGAACCCAGTACAAACGTGTTATCTGGAGTAGTACAGCAAGACCAAAAGATTTCATGATTATAAAAAGTAATGTTTTGTACTTTAAACATGGTAAATTTGAATTGTCCAGGTCCATAGCAATTCCAGATTTGTTAGATTTTGTTTTTCTGTGTAAGCATTCCAATTAAAAATTAATATCAGTTTCATTTGAGGTAAATAATGCTTCTCAAAAACTGACCTGTTTAAAATGTATGTGGATATACCTTCAGAAAACTATTGCTTTAGCACACACATAAGCAATTCTAAGTACTGAAAGAAAATGCTTAACCTAAATACATTTTAATAGGTTCTAAGAACTTTTTGTGGTAGGTGAATTGGTTTATAATATATTACTCTCTTACTAGGCAATGTATTAGACTCAAAACTATAACTGAGTTAAGTTAAGTTTAACTGTGTGCTCTGGAGTGCATTTGATATATCTGTATAGAAATTTAAATTTATTCATATAAATATACTGTACACCAGCATCTATTTTAGTGTCTTCTTGCAGGATGAGCCTTTTAGTTTAATTTAATATTCTTACTAAACCTTCCTTTGTTTTCTGTTTTTGAATACCATGGAAACTTGGCTTCATGGTGGAGCACCTGTAAAACAACACGGCTTTCATTTGCAAAGGACTTTACTAATTACAAACACTCTTGGAATTTTAAAGCACACGGCTGTATTGACTGGAGTTTATTTTACTACCCATTGAGCCCACATCAGTGTTCTGTCTTTTTCTTATACTTAAAAAAACTCAAGACCCAATAGGAAGTGTTTGTGTTAATGATACTGGGTACTTCAGAATTGTTGCCTAAACCTGGGTGTTGTCTTTTTCTTTACCGATAGCTGTGTTGCTATGGTAGTGTGGTAATCTACAAATACGTTACGTTTCAAACATGATTAGAATCTGCGTCAGTTTCCTGAAATGAGTAAGAACAAGCCCAATGTCTGTTGCTGCTATACTTTTATTTATGTCTGCTATATTGGTTTGTTTGATTATGATGAAACTGTACTTACATCATACACTGTATGAGTGTTCTTCTTTCACAAAGGTAAATGAATCCAGAATATGTGCGATACCTCTTTGTTACATTACAAGTCTTATAGGACAGCCTTACTCATCAGATCAGATAAGTGTTGAAATGAATGACTTCAGTTATTGTGCTCATTTCTTTCTTTGTTCAAGTTTGTTTCAAGAGTACAGTAAGTTAATTTAATCTGGCCTGCCAGGGAAGCACTGAGACGTTTTTATGCTTCAGGTACTGCGGAAACACTAGCATGTGGGAAATGTATGTATTATACAGTGTTTCAAAATATGTGGGAGATTGATAATTAATCCTTTCTGTAAAGACACAAGGAAGTGTGTCTCAAACATCCTCACCTCTTTTGATTCCTTCTCCTCAGAGGCAGTGATGGCCTAAGATGTCTTAGAAACCCCTCCCAAAAACATGACATTCACACAGCACATACAGTACATGCCCACACTGACCAGTCACTTCCCTAACACACGGAGGTATGACAGGGCTCTGCAAGCAACGAAATCCCATTGTCCTTGACTAAAGACCCCCAACAAGACAGTTTTTTTTCCAAAATGTTTTGTACACAGCAGACTAACAACATGCAGTAGCTTCAGGGGAGAAGCAGACCTCACATTGAAATGTGAAGAACACCTAATCTTTGTAAGACAAGGCAACTCATTGTTCAAGAAACATCATAGCACAGTGAAAGCAATTGTAGCCTGTGCATCTGTATGTGAGCTGCATGTGTATGGCACGCTTCAGACTGCTGTGTTTGGGGGAAAAAAGAACAGAATACAGCCTTCGCTCAGTAGCCATGTTAACTTAGGGAAAGAATAATGAAGTCTCATTCGAAGTAAAGGTATACCCCTATTCTCTAGTAATCTTGTGTACAATTGCATAAGGTGTACAGTAGCCATACACTATACTGCATTGAAACTGGCACACTACATTACTCAGGCAGCTGTGACAGTTCTGCGGTGTCTCTTGACTACTGCCCTTCTGATGGTTCGGAGCTGTCATAACCTGTCTATGTGAAAGGGTTTATACATCCAGGCCAGTGCTCCCATGCAGTCTTATTCACACTGGTGTGGCAACACTGCTGTGTGGCTCACAGCCCGGCAGTCATGGGATCTTAGCAACCCAGCAGTCATTTTTTCTTATTTCTGGTGTTACCCGATGATTACGATGAGCTGCGTAATCATCACAAAAGTCAATAAGAACACACGATTAAGACGTTGCAATTGAATACCTTTATACGAATGAAGACAAAAATGCTGCCACAAGCTCCACCTGCTGCAGAACATTCTATGGGCATCTGAAACGTTCACATCTGTAACCTAGATCATCTAATGGGTGTAATACAGTTGAACACACTGATTTTTTTTTATTTTTACCCCTCACAGGTTGTTGCTAAACAAGTACATTGACTTTTAAAGTGCTATCAGCGGTACAGGTTTTAAATCACATTACCTTTCACGTCTTTCAGTTATCGCTGTTGCAGCAGTTTTCTCTTGACCAGTTTCATTAAATAACTGATAATGTGTGTGATTGCAGCCCATGCTATTACAGTAAACGCATACAGAATCTATTGCTGTTTTTTTTTTTCACCAGGCACTGGAACCTTTGGCCGTGTTTTTCTAGTGAAAGACAAAATCACTAGGGGGTACTTTGCACTGAAAGCGATGAAGATCCCCGACGTCATCCGGCTGAAGCAGGAGCAGCATGTGCACAATGAGAAGGCAGTGCTCGCTGAGGTTAATCATCCTTTCCTTATCAGGCTGTAAGTGTCGAGCGTGGTGACTGAGGCCTGCTTGCTTTATCACGCATGGAGTGAAGAGGCTTTGGGATCTGAAAACAAGGCTATGGCATAAATGTGAAAAGAATACTTCACTCCCTGTTTGATATAGTTCTGAATGTTTTGATTTGTTTCTCATTTTGAAAATGAGGTAATGATGGAGGTTGATAATTTTTCTCTTTCGTACAGGAGTTGCACCGTAATCTGTCTCATTTCTCCACTAAGCATACTTCAGGTTTTTCTTCTTGTAGGACTTAGATTTTATTTTAAGTTTGAGTGTTAGACTGGATGAAACGCTCAAGACCCCTGATGAACAAAGAAACAAATCTTTTCTAAGTGATCCAAAGATCTCATCCCGCTGTTTCTTGAAGAAAGCCAGCGCATCAGCTCCAACAATATGGCTGTGTAGCATGTTCCACACTCCCACCACTCTGTGTAAAATATGCCTCCCGTTCACAGTTCTTAGTGCACTTCGTCATAGCTTCTGCTTGTGTCCTACTGTATGCCCCTTTGTGTTTCTTGATTCTGATGGAATTGGGGAAATTGCTTGTGTATTTCTAGTATTAAATTCATTATTATCGTGGAGGTGGTTTTTTCATTTTTAATGGTGACACATGGAAGCAGACATTAAACAAAAACAGCTTGTGGCCCCTCTATTGTATGGTAGGAAGTTGACATCCCATAATCCTACACAAGACACTGACCGTGAATAGGGGGAAATAAAGCTGTGTGGCCTGCTCAGCAGACTGGCAGTCAGAAATATGCTTAAAAGAAAATAACATTTTGGGCTCAAACTTTGTAATTTCAAATTATAGAATGTTTGTTAAATTATGCAATAGTTAATGATAATGTTCTCTTTTCCTGGTGTCTAGAGATTCTGAGAACCTGTTCTCTGCAGTATGTCATTAGTATGTCACTAGCTTATTCAAAATGTTACACTTTGCATGCATTCTATATTATTATGCACCAAAAAACTAGTATAAAGTCCCAGGGCCAATTTTGTCAGTAAGGGCAATAAAGGCACAGCTGCAATTTTGGCTTTAGTAACCGTGAGCTTTTTTAAGAATAAAGAAGAATTTTATTTTGTATAATTATATTTTATCATAGAATTCTGGACAGGAGTTATGATTTATTAAAAATCATAACTTCCGCCTACAACAGACAACATCTCCTGTACTTCCAATTAGGATAAAGCAAAATCACTTTCTCTGTGAATGAAAAGCAAAGGTATCTGTTGCATTCTAAACTAAAACTATTTCCAAAAAACTTTTAGCTGTGGAAAATTGTTTAGACTTTTAGCATTTGATTTCTTTTATGAAGTCAACGAACTTTCAATCCCAATCTGGCATTTTGGCATCTAATATACATCTTTTTCATCAATGCTTTGTTGTTGATTTCACAGATTCTGGACTCATCATGATGACCGATTTCTGTACATGTTAATGGACTATGTGCCTGGAGGTGAACTCTTCAGCTATTTGCGCAATATGGGCCGATTCAACAACAGCACAGGACTGTTTTATTCTGCAGAAATAATTTGTGCAATAGAGTACCTGCACTCCAAGGAGATAGTTTACAGAGACTTGAAACCTGAAAATATATTGCTGGACAGAGAAGGCCATATGAAACTCACAGACTTTGGATTTGCTAAAAAGCTTGTTGACAGGTATGTACAAGTATATCAAGCATATTATGTACTGTATACAGGAACAAGTAATAGGTTTATACCATGCTGAAAAGAGAAGAAACCACAGAGTGTTTTCTTTCTTCTCATTTCAGCATGGAATAAACCTATTACTTCCTTTGCAGCCTACACATGCTGACTCAGCTACCCACCTGACATATTATATATACAATAAGTATAGCTATATTATGGTTTTGTAATGGGTATATCCCATTTAAGCATTTTAATCGTTACGGTATTAAAAAGACTGTCGACTTTATAGGATATTATAATGCAAAACAAAACCTTGAGCCTGATTTTTCTTGTGAATCTTTCCTCCTGCTCTTTCAGTGTTTTGATTTCCTGTTATGTGTGAAGCAATATAATATAGCACATCCACCTCAGACACCTACATATACTGTACATCTTTAAAAAAAAGACTTTAATGATCAAGCAGTTACTGCAGTAAGTTGCCATTTCTGGGAACTAGATTGTTCAGGCCATAGTAGCCATACCTTTTTTTGTTCCACACGCTTGGTAAAACACCATCACATATTTGCCTGTTAAGTGTCTAGCTCCTGGGGTGGTAGTGTGACAGTAACAACCATTGTGTCCAGGAATATAATTCAAAAGATGAACAGAAATCAATCTTTCCTTTATACCCTGTGGCTGAGGTGAAAACAGAAAAAAATCCTCCGTTATTTTTTAATTGTTGATATAAGAACTAACTCGTACTCACATTTCAGCAGAATCATTATTTTTGGCATTATATGCATGTCAAAGCAAAAGAGGATTTATGCAAAATTTCTTTAAATCACTATGTATGTATTATTACATCTAAACTTTTTAACAGCTCAAATGGTGATGGTATTTATGTGTTGCTTTCTCTTTGAATTAGTTTTAAAATTGCTGTAGTAGTGTTCAAGGGATTGTTTGTACTGTATCTAAATGGAGGTTGGTGAGTCAGCAGCCATTCTAACATCTTCAATCATGTCATTTCTCAGTACATACATTAGTGAAAACTATTTACATCATTGAAAGGCAATAAAACGCGTAACCATAGTCAGAAAGCAACTCTACAACATTTAATAGCCCCTGGTTTTCTTTATGATGGTGTCCTTTTATTACATGTGTGTTCACACCGCCATCTAGTGGATATCTGTAGAGAGTTTTGAATGCACTGTACACGCATTTTGTGCCACAACCTCCTTATTCTGCAATAAAAGCTAATATGCAACACTGAAGAAAATGATATGACATCACATAAAACACAGATAAAATGGACTGTAGGGAGACATGAATTCATTAAATGACACAGGGACCTTTAGTGACCACAGTCATCTCCTCTTTGCTTAATTCCCTCCTTGTATCTCACAGCAGGCGGTGAGGCTTGTGCTCTTTTCCTGTTGTTTGAATAATGTGTTTTGTTGTCAGCTTGCTTTGAGACAGAGAAATGAACTCAAATTAGAATCCAGCACTCAGCTGAGATTCTCTTATTTCTCTGGAACTGTCGAGAAAGATGTATTGCATCTATTCAGTTTTCCAGCTAGGTATGCAGGTAACCATGGGTTGTAATATATTACCATGTAAATATACAGTAGTTCCATGTTAAAAGACTGTAAAAAGGTATAATTTAAGGTTGTATTTAATATACTGTACCTAAATTACCTTTTTTTTTTCTTTTAGTATCAGTATTTAGTCAAATTTGCAGCATCTGTGCTGTATATTTGGTGAGCAAAGAAATCTCTTAACATATGTCATTGCGTATGTGGTGTTTTATGAAGCACTCTGCCTCCTGTTGAGATTGCACTCCTGTTTTCGTGGAATATTTTTCTTGATGTTTAGGTTTTTAAAAGTACAGTACACAAGAGAAGCACATACCGCCATACACTCAGAAGACCAGGAGAGACAGGTATAGCTGAGGCTCACGATGGGATATGTGAGGCTGATAAATGGAGTAAGATCCATGACTCTGAATCTCATTTTTTTGCAATTGAAGCGCCTCTGTAAGATCCCTAATCTAGTAGAAGTTCCAAAGAGGGGAGAACCTGCTTACAATAACATAAAAGCTTTCCCTCACGTAATATCCTTGCAAAGACCTGAACATCAGACCACATATTAATTAGATAACATCTTCAGATAGAATTTTTAAAGAAAAAAAAAACAAGTAAAGGGGGTTAGTGTTAGTTAACATCCTAGAGGACAATACAGGAAACTAAAGGATGAATAAAATAAAAAAACATGAACACAGACAGCTGAAGTTTTATAGCAGTATCTATCGACAGAGCTGTATCTCATGCGTTAAAGATCATTACAAAACTTCCATTTGGCGTTTTACCAATCACAGTCAGAGAAGGCAAAGAGGGGGGAGATGATGTGCTAAAAGAGGATGAGTACTGACACTAATGTGAAATCAAGTCATGTCTGGTATTTATGCTGCATGTTTAACTCCTGTGACCAACTCCCCCGCTCGCAGTATAGATTATCTCCGTCACAGTGTCAGACAAAGATTGCGAAGAGAAAGACGGGAAAGAGGCTGTGTGAGGAGAATCTGTAGCTGGTGTTTAAAATAAGAGGGTAAAGTGTGGCTCAGATTGACAAACGCATGCTGTGTGTTCCCTTTGCCCTTACTGACTGATGAGCATAAAAGTTCTAAAGTAAGACCTCTGGTGGCTCTTAATGATCCCCTCAGAGTTAGAGGCCATGAAAACAGCAGGACTTCACTCAAGAACAGGAGGAAGCCTCCTTCTGTAATGTTAGAGAACATACAGAAAGTGAAGCACATTGATTACAGGGAGTGTACTAAAGATCTTTGCATTAACTCAGACCATATGTATTGAGGCCTTGATGGATTCACTTTAAAAAAGCACATTAAAGTGGTGGACTTTTCTGGCTGTGAGGTTCTGCTTCAAATTTCACTTCCACAATATGAGAACATATTAAAGGATGGTCTTTAAAGTCTCCTGTTACACAAAGACTGGAAACTCACGTCTCTCAACAGTGCTCAAATGGCTTTGGCAGACAACCTGTTGAAGCTGATTTTTATCGTTTCAAAAAGGACTTTTGCCAAAAAGTTCTCAAAGAGTCCTGAAGCAGCAGCTCCTGCCAGCTGTTCCTCCATCATCACTCACAGGACAGTGCACTCACCATGGTAACAGTCATGATAGACCAAGTACAGTAATTAACACAGCTCTGAAAGCAGCAGGTTTTTAACATTTAGATCTTAATGATGGCAGCACAGTGAGATTTATTGTTCAGTCAGCTACTGAGAGGTGCAGAGCTTCGTAAAACATGTAAGACGTTCAACTTAATGGCTTTAATAGTAGAGGCTGTACGAAAATTGAGCAAACTGCATGACATTAATTTTAAGGGATGGCCAGAAGTTCATGTGTTTTTGTCACCTTAGGCAGCCTTCAGGTTTTTTATAACTAGGATTCAGAATCCCTTCTACATCTTTATCAGCTTTGAGTGGGATCTTGGTAGCCTGCATTTAAGCAACAATAAATTTTGTGCTTTTTTTCTGCATTTACAGTATAAGAAAATTGTCATCAGTCCTCAAAGAACAGGTGCTGTAACCTTCCAGCTCATCTAAGAACATATAAACAAGAGCCATTCAGCCCATCTAGCTCTTCTGATAGTAGTTTATTGATCTGAAGTTCTCTATCAGCCATGTGTTGAAAGGAGCCAGGGTATCGGCTTCAACAACCTGGCTGGTTAACTTGTTCCATCCCCTTGTAACCCTTTGGGTAAAGAAATGTAATGTGTTTTTTGGGGTTGTCTGCAAGGTTTTGCCATGACCCCTCCCCTGAACCGATAGCATTATTAGTCCTTTTCTGACGGGGACCCTTTTCGTTGTTTTTGCAGGACCTGGACCCTCTGTGGGACTCCAGAATACCTGGCTCCAGAGGTGATTCAGAGTAAAGGTCACGGCAGAGCAGTGGACTGGTGGGCTTTAGGAGTGCTGATTTTTGAGATGCTCTCCGGGTAAGTTCTAGTCCGTTTGTGCAGTTACCCTGCCGGCCAGAGCCATGGTTTTGAACAGAAAAGTTCATTGGCGGGGACACTAAAATTAAGCAAATGCCAAACCAAAAAAAGTGCATTTTTACAGAGCCTGCAGTGTGTGGCTGAGCTTTTTTTATTTTTAACAATTGGTCTTTCTACTGTTGGCCTCAGTGCTGCAGAGCAGTAAAGATTCCATTTTGGAAATGTAAGAAGAATTATAAATGAATTTTGCAGATCCCCCTTCAACATCCCGAGCAAAATGCCTTGCAATGTGCTGTATTCATTTATGGCTGGAGTGCAGTACAGGAGTCCCAGATGATGTTGAGATGGCAGGAAACCATCCAGACTGGGCTTATAAACACATTGCATGCTGGCAGGGTGTCCGGCAAAGGAAGACTATCCACTAGCAGCACAGCTCACACAACAACATTCAGCAGGCATCTGGTGATGTCTAAGGATAGCATTTAGGATTAACAGCACTCTGAGACATCACAGTGAGACATGCGTCATGTTGTGAGGGATATGATATACTTTTATAGAACTGTAAATTGCTGCATTTTCAGAATTCCAGTTGTTTGTCGTTCTGTAAATGTTTTTTGAAGATTTCTGTTTAACACAACATTTAACATACAATATCAACATACAGACGTTATTGATTCCAACATTCGGAACTTTTCACCAGAAGAAAGCAAAGTCATGATATAGATACATTCTCATATTTAATTAATGACTGGTTCATGAATAATTTGTAATTTCATATGTAAATTATTTCAAATAAGAATGTAAATTTCACTGTAATAGAACCATTTGCACAGCTTAGATCAAAGAAGGCACTGTTTCACTACCAGAATTGCCCCAATCAGCAATGATCAATTTACATTACTGACTGAGATAAGTTGGATCTCAACTTGAATGGTATTTCATGCTCTGATGATCCTGTTCTAGTAGGCTGAGGTTGCCTTTGAAGTGCACAATACTGACCATTGATGTCATAGAAATGCCAATATCTTAGTTCAGAACAGGAAAGCACATTTAGCCTAATGCACATTGATCACAGTCTTGCATTGTGAGGAGCCTGTCTGTAGGTGTTCTTGGATTTAATTGTGCCTCCAGCAACCTCTGCTATGACATAACTAAGCATTAGAACGAAACTGTTTTCCCAGTGTTGCTTGTACATACTCTTGCACCGATGAAATGGCCATTCCTGTTGGGTTTAATCAAATATTTTAACCATAAATCTCAAACAAAATAGCAGTAAATGGGAACAGAAACTACACATAAAAAGTAGTGTTTTCAGTGCAGTAATGTTACACTCAGTGTTATATTATGTTAACACAGTCATTTTTTTGGCTTAAAGTCTGTTCATCATGACACTTCAACCTCCATACTGGATGGTGGGAACCAATTCAATGGCCAAGGTCAAATCAGCATGTACAGATGGGGTAGAGGCTCTACAGTTGTTTCTGCTGCTACCCCGCTTCTCGTTCTCGGAGAATAAAAATATTTTATGTATCTGCTTTCAACTTTACCTCTAAACAGCCTGCAAACATTGTTGCCCAGTCCTGGGCAGGTGTGGTGTCCATTATAGAGTCAGTTTTCTAGTGTCTCCAGACTAGGCTACTGTCTGCTTAAGCAGACAGCATCTCATGCCTTGGGGAGTTGCTCTCACAGATGGGGCACTTTCAATTTTGCTGATAGAGAAATCTTCACTACTGAGGTTGGGCATGGTAATCCTCTTGAGCTTGGTGTTTTGTGGTTCCAAAACTCTTTGTTCACAGTTTAAAAAGTAACAGCATTTATTAATAGTTATTGAAGGCCGTTATATAATATGCGTTTGTACAGACTTGCTGTTCACACAATCCTGTGGTGCAATACTAAACTGGCCCAGTTTATATTACCAGTCTGAACCCATGTTCTGCTTATTGTTTTCCATCTGTTTTTCAGGCTTTTGTCCCCAGTAATCAGATTTAAATGCAAGTTTATTTAGATAAACAAATATTATTAGTTTTATATCAATAGCTCATTGGGGACATGAAGTTATTTACATTTTAAATAATGAAAAGATAGGTCTGTTCACTGAGTGGTAATAATAATCATACATATTATTATTTCCACCCTTTTAAATGACCTTTTTAATAAATTATGTGGAGCATGAAAAATTATTGTTCTTCTTCTGATCTCTTTTTTGATGCAAGGTGAAACTCTCAGAGAGCTCCCTTACTGTGTCTGAGCCCTGAAAAATAATAGCACTGAGAAGGAGTAAACATTCAACCGACATACTTGTAATTAGACAAGGGCCTGAGCTCCTTGATACACACCTTGCGTTAATTAAGGGTTAACAGTCTTGAAAAAGAAATATCAATGAGAATAATTCATTTCAAAAACGTAAAACTAATATGTTGAGGTTTCTTGTCAAATTGATCCTGTTGACTGAATAAAGGAGAAAATCCCATCGATGGCATTTAAAATAATTAAAACTTTAAAGTGTACTTATAACAGCATCTATATCACTCTGCAACTCGTAACTGTCAATCCATAGAAGATAAGCAGGTGTGAGCCAGGTCAATTCCATTGCTGGTGGAAGTGGTATTAGAGGGGCCAGTAGGGGGCGCTCACCCTGCAGTCTGTGTGGGTCCTAATGCCCCAGTATAGTGGTGGGGACAATATACTGTAAAAGAAAAAGGTACCATCCGTTGGATGAGATATAGAACTGAGGTCCTGACTCTCTGTGGTCATTAGAAATCCTAGGGCTTTTCTCGAAAAGAGTAATGGTGTAACCCCAGTGTCCTGGCCCAATTTCTCCCCAGCCTTTACCAATAATGGCCTCCAGATAATCCCATCTATGAATTGGCTTCATTACTGTGTTCTCCTCTCCACTGATAGCAGATGGCATCCAGGTGGGGCTACACCTCATTACAGTCCTCATTACCTGTAAAGTGCTTTGAGTGTCTGGAAAAGCACTATATAAGTTTAAGGAATTATTATTATTCATTTTAGCTCCTAGAACTGCATTATTTTATTATTAAAGGCATTGTTTTTTCTGATTTGTACACAAGGGATGCCAGAGGTGTGTATCTCTGTTCGCTTCAAGCAGGTGTGGTTGAGATGCTTCCTTTTTGATTCATTTTCCTCGAAAGTTCTTTATAGAAAACAAACTGTTCTTTTTTAATGTTATAAACCAGAATACAAAGCTTTAAATTGTTTATGTGAAAAGCCTTTAACATATAGGTGATTTATTTGAAAAGTGGTCACTTCAGATACAAAACCATGCTTCATATAATCTACACTGCTTTAAAAACTCAACTGCATTGAAGAATAAATGGAAGGCAGAACGTTATTTTTTTCATTTCTGTTAAATTCTTTTTTACAGTAATAAACCATTTCAATGTGGGCTTTAAGGGAGACAAAAATGAGAAGAACAAAAAGAAAAAGATACAGTACATAGAGACACAATATTCAGACACACAATATTCAGTGTGTGTAAGGCAATAAAATTGTATAATTGGTTCATTCTTATCTTTCTGATACCAAATGCTGTTAATTCACTGAAAAGCTTAACACAGACTTAACAATTGTTTCCAAAACAATCAAAAATATTCATTTAAGATGGAGGGGAAATTGGGTGACCACTAGAGGGCAGATTTGCTTATTGTAAACCTAAGCTTGATCACTAGGGTCCTTTGAACTTATTTGTAACTTTTGCCTCAAAAGAGTAACCTAATTTTCGCTACTGGCACTCTAATTTACTAAACAGCTGTATAATCCTTCTAAATTTGGCATTGTTTCATTGGTTTGTTTAAAAATTCATGTCTTTCTAAGAATACAGAATAAAATTCCCTAAACTTTTTTTTCTTTAAAATATAGTATAGGATTCTGTTTTCTACAAAAAAACAACAAATTTCTATGCATTTCCACCTCCTGAGTGCCCCCCCTTGGCACACATACTATGTTAATTTCTATAAAAGTCATTCACTGGAACCGACTGGAGTATTATCTGTAATGTGAGGAATGAATAGAAGATTACGCATATTTCTATCATGAATAGAAATCTTGTGTAGAAATGATGGATTTCAGGTTAGTTTTCAGTTTTGATCATTTAAAGTATGAATACTGATATATGAATATATATGAATGTCATGCCAGAAAAAGCATAAAAGAGCCTCCCTCCTCATACTGTACCACACGCACAAAACAAAATTGGTTACGGATGTTTTGGGAAAAACACATCCTAATCATAACATAGAGCCAGAGGTAATTGTTTTGGGACTGTATTTTATTGTTCAGGGATAAAGACTTGTTATGGGTATAAAACCTATTTTTCATTTCCTACATTTCATTTGTTTTTTGCATAACTAGCAGTCCCACTGGGGAGAGAGTTTTAAGGTTTAGATATAGCTATTTGTACTCTAATTTGTGCTTAAGCCCACATTATGGATCTGTGTGGAAGATAATGCTTCCCTACCTCCAAACCCAGCAATTCTGTGTGCTGTGTTCCTTAAACCACATTTGAATACATTCAATAAAGCATAATGGAATAATGACTGAGTCAAATTATTGCCATTGGAGGGCCGTATTGATTAGGTCTGACCTTTTAATGGAGTATTAATTTTATTTTTCTGCTAATTAATTGATAATGGGGGCTTTGCTGTTGGCCACACATGCAGATCTGCTTATATTATTATTATGAATTTACACTCCGACACATCCTCAAATGTTTCGATTATTTAAAGGAGCAGTTTAAAAAGGCACCTCTTAAAATAAATACACACAATGAGTAATTGTACTGGGTAAACATTCATCATCTTAATGTCATATTGCTATCAGAAACAGGAGGAAAGAGAACAAACCTAATCTTAACTGGGCCTCTGCAATTAGATGATTCAATATAAAGCACTGTAGTCAAAGGAAGTATAGTGTAGTTAGCAGTCTAGGGGAGATCTTGACCTCTCATTTTAAATGGCATTTCTTTCCATCCATGGTGAAAGCTGATCCCTTAACTAAATGATCAGGGGATTATATCAGAAGTGTTTTATATCTTAAAGCTATGAAGAAAGCATAAATATATTCTTCGCCAGTTACCTTTCACGAGGTGTGTCTGAATATTGTGTCTCTATGTACTGTATCTTTTTCTTTTTGTTCTTCTCATTTTTGTCTCCCTTAAAGCCCACATTGAAATGGTTTATTACTGTAAAAAAGAATCAAGAAACATTCACATAAAATGTAATTGCACTGGAAGGAATAAAAAGATTATTCCAGTAAATGAATTTGCCTGGTATAGAAATAGTATAGCAGGTCTTTGCACTGTACTTAGTCATATAATTTATTGTGTGTTTGGACTAGCATGGATTTCCCTTCTGTTACTGTTTTTAATACTCAGATTTCCTCATCTCGTCGTACTTTCTGCACAAAGACTTCTGGAAACCAGGTGTCACAGGTTTTTCTGTCCTTAAACGTATTAATCTTGGCCGAAGAGTGTTCATGTTCTGCTCACAGTGCTTGTCAGGGATTATTCTGTGCTCTTTTCTACCAGACATTCTCCAGATGGCACTTTCTTTCCACTGACACCATTTGCGATTGTGAATAGCTTGTATTACATTTGGACAAAAGGCCTAGTCTGAAGGAAGCTCATGTTGCCATAGATACACCTTCCCCTGGTTTACATAAGAAGGCCTGTCATGGGCATGGGCTTTCTTATGCAGGACAATCTTGGGCAGCACTAAAAAATAATAATAAAATTGGTGACCGAGCCAAGCCTATGAGTTACAAGTGAAGTTCAGCACATTGCACCTCACCATATTCAGCAGATATTTCCACAGCATCAGGATAGGAGAGCTAGATAGCTAAGCATTTTAAAGGAAGACATTTATGGATTTTATGCAAACCCCAAGCTTAAACTTAATACTGGAGATTGTGGTTTCCTTGTGCATAACCTGAGAATCCTGTGACTTTGTCATGAGCCTTCCCAGCGTGACCTCCAGAGGGTTCAGATATAGATATTTAGAAGTTACTAACTGCCCTTTAAAAAAAAAAAATACAACCCTTTGCGACTGCACTCAATCACTGAGAACCTTTGAAGTGTCCGCTCTTATAGTGTATGTCCTTTGCCCCTGTGGTTTTGGACAGTTAAAGAAACATTCATGAGCCAAGACAAATGTTCTCTTGAGTTTTAAGGCCATAAGATCTTTATGGTCCTTTGCTTAGTTTGTTGACGGCCTCTTGAGTTTCTATATACTGCATGGCCTCCTAGTGAAGATTTTCCCGCATCTGTAAATCAGTGTTTCTGTTTTAATCCAAGCTGTGGCTTGCACTGTTTTAAACTCTGATTTGCTGCTGTGTCTTATTTCTATTACTGAGGTTTAAATTACTGATTGTTTTGGTTGATGATGTTCGCAATATTTTCTTTTGTTATTGTTTACACTTTGTTTTAACACTCGACATTATTTTTGATTGCAAAGGAGCAAGTAAAGGTTTATTCCATGCTGGAAAGGGAAGAAAAGCAATGCAATGTTTAGGCTTTCTTTCTTTCTTTTCTTCTCTTTTCAGCATGGAATAAACCTTTACTTGTTCCTTTGTAGCCTATGCATGCTGACGCAGCTACCTCCTTGTATTATTTTTGATTATTAGCTATCCATATTGGCTGTTGAAGGATATCAGAGTTGTGTTTGTCGAAAAAATGGTTATGCACTGTAAATGATATTGTGAGCACTTACTGATTACTGAATATCCTTTTTTCATACGTATTGAGGATCACATTATTACTGTTATTGTTAGAAACAAATCTTGACTTTCATTATTTGCACAGAAATCTTATTGTATATCCACTAACAGTATTGATGGATTAATCATATCCATAACAGTTTTTGAAAAAAAGTCTGTGGGTTTTAGTTTAGTTGTGGTACGCCTTACCTTTAACATGCACAGTTGCCATTTTGGACTTTTGTAGCTTTCCTTGTTGGATAATTAGCTGGAGTCTCAGCTGTCTTTGAGGTGTTGCATAATTCCGAAGCTACGTAAACAACTGAGTGCTGTTAACTCATCCGTCATGGTCTTGATCAGTGGCTTCACTTTTCCTAGGGAAATGTTCCCCTATATTTGCTGTTGCATTGAAAGATGAATTAGTAATCCATTTCTCGAGAACAGTCCAGACAGTGTTAATGGGTCTTGGTCTGATTGGATTTTACCAGGTCTGATTGGATTTTGCCACACTTGACAGGCAGTCTGTGCTTTGTGTTATAGCTCATCATCATTTCTATTTTCAGAGACTTGCATTTTTCATCTTTAGTGCTGTGACACATTCATATGATTTGCTTCAATCTGCAGGTCATACAATAAATTGTGGTTTAGTTGTGTTGTGTTGGAATCTATAAACATATCCTCAGCACACATTCTTCTAAGCTTTGTTGTATGCTGTATATACATTTTTCTGGAGGAGTTAAAGGGATTAAAATAAGAGTACTGTATGTAATGTTTACTCTCACCCTGCAACATCAGTCCTTCATCAGAAAGGCACTGTGTGAAGATGCACATGCACAGTCATGCTTGAAAGTTTGTGAAACCATTGCGTAATTTGAGAGTTTTAGTTTTTTTAACCACAAAATGCATATTTAATCAGAATTTGTCACTTCCTAATTGAAATAAAGGATAATCATTCACCAATTTGATTGTTTTGAAAGAAAATGTCCATACAGAAAAATAATACACACAGTATACAGAAATTGTGCAGGTGAAAAAATAAGTGAACCTTTGTTCTATGACTTACACCAAGGTAAAGCAGGATCAGGTGGGCCAATGACAGAGTGTTAACCAATTAACCGAGATAACCAATGAAATTGAGGATCTGAAATGATGTGTTATGGAGGAGCAAACATAAATAATTGCACGAAAGTAGGTTAGTTACTCTTCCTATGAGTCTAGCACTATACCTTGAACAAAGGAAATATCAGCAGAACTGAGGAAAAATGTAGTGAATGCTCATAAATCTGGACAAGGTTATAAAGCCATTTCAAAAAGATTCAGACTTATCCCTGCTGTTAAGCATGGTGGTGGGAGTGTCCTTGTATGGGGCTGTCTTTCTTACTCTGGCCCTGGGCACATTGACATCATTGAGGGAATCATGAATTCTGAGAAGTATCAAGGAATTATTGAGAAGAATGTCAGGCCATCAGTTCAAAAACTCAAGCTGGGCACAAAGTGGATGTTTCACTAAGACAACAATCCTAAACATTCAAGTAAGTCCACTAAAGAATGACTTAGGAAGAAGAGGTTCCGTGTCCTGGAATGGCCAAGCCAAAGCCCTGACCTGAATCCTGTTGAAATGCTATGGCAGGACCTGAAGTGGGCTGTTCATGCAAGAGATCCTTCAAACCTCACAGAGCTGGTGGAGTTTTGTTAAGAGGAGTGGGAAAAAATCCCTCTAGCAAGATGTCAGAGACTGATAATTGGTTATAGGAGGCGACTGTGTGAAGTTATTGCTGCTAATGGAGGTGCCACAAGTTATTGACTAAAATAATTTACCTTTGCACACAAAAATATCTGGTGATTTGTTAAATATCACAGTCTAGTAATCTATGAGTTCAAATCCCTTTTTATGTGTGGGAAGTCTTTATTTAGGATATTGATTCTATATATTCATTAAGAGTTTAGGTTTATATAATATCTAAAATAATGACCACCTTGAAGAGTTCACAAACTTTCAAGCATGACTGTATTTACTAAAAAAAAAACACCATCCTGGTTGGAAAAGGTTTAGCCCAAAAATTTGCATTCCTATGCAAGATATGAACTGTTCACATCCAAGCTTCTCAGACCCGTTTTCCTCTAGGGGCCTGAATCTGCTCAATTTAATCAGTCAGTAAACACATTAATAAGTATATGGATTATGACCTTTTAGGTAATTCCTCAGCAGGTACAAATCTGCTATGGAAATTAGCTTGGCACCAATTTCTTCATTGACTTCAGGTTGGAGATGAATTATCAGAATGATCTCAGCAACATTGTTACAGTTTTGTAAGCTAGAGTGCGGGAAGAATTCACAGGGGGAAAGAGGAGAACCTTGGACAAAAAGGAGGTGAAGATTGTGTTACACTGCCTTAGAAATAAAACTGTATAAAGGCAAGCTTGAATATGTTATTCACCGTAGAGTTGTTAAGTAGCTGGTTGTCCATTAGGCATCAATAGTTGCTTGAATTGCCTTATTTAAAGACGGGATTAATAGTTTTGCTAAAATTTTGATTTGAGTCCTGCAGTACTTTTTTTCTTCAGTTTTAATTCCAAGTTATTCCCTGTAGATAGCAGAGGCTATTTTGGCTCAGTGTTTTTATGATTATTTCATGTGGCATTGTGCTTTCAGAACTTATTTTCAGTTGCTCACTAATATGATGAATAGGATTTATTAACTTGCCGCTGACACCATATTAGAAATGTGTGATGTAATGATACACTGACATCAGTCAATCGGACTGTCTCTATTTTTTTTAGGTATCCTCCTTTCTTTGATGACAATCCCTTTGGCATTTACCAGAAGATACTCGCTGGCAAACTGGATTTCCCACGGCATCTGGATTTTTATGTAAAGTAAGGTTAAACTGAAAATTAACATAACAGCACAGAAATAAAACCTGTAATTTTAGAAGAACTTTAAGAAAAAAACATACATTTTAATCAAATTACAATAACTCATTCGTTTTTTTTTCGAAGTTATCTTGGAAGTACAAACCAGTCTTTAATTTAAAATATCATGTGTTCTTACTCTGATGAAGTGATTTAATACTTGGAGCTGGGTTAACGTCTTGTGTATCCTAGGTGCTCGTTTTTTCATTAAATGTTATATCGTCTTTTATTTTCACAGTCCCTGCGATAACAGGAGAGCATTTGTCTGTGAAACCTCCTGAGTTAGCATCTATTTCCAATATTACACTGAGAACTTAATGCTAAATTCCTGTGACCACTGTATGTTACACTGTGTTTCGCAAGAGAAATGTCTTGCTTTTCTATGATCAAAAACGGCAAATGATTTCTGCACTTTGTTGGCAAGAACCTTGATATTTACTGAGGGAAGAGAGGCCACAATCTGTTGCCAACTGGCCTTTTCTATAAAAAAGACATTTCACTTAAACACCAAATATTTAAAGAGATTTATGCTTCTTTCTCACATTTTGATGGATAATCGGGGAAGAAACAGGCATGTGTGTATTTGCTGGGAGACTGATCATTCACAACTCATCTCAGAAAGTATTTTAGAAACTTAATGATTCACAGCTTAATGATTCACATCCATATTTTAATGGTTTTAAAACAAATTATGAAAACCAATACACCAGGAAAATTTTGCCTCTCTTTAGTCCCTGTCATGGATAGTTATAGAAATGTGCTACAGTCTCCAAGTTGTTTTTGAGATGGAAAAATTAGATTGTTAGAACGTGTTTATGTCACAGGGATGGGCAGGGCTTGTGTCAGGACATACACAAGAAAAACAGCTGTACTTAGGGGTGGAACGGGGGTCAGGGGTGTGTACCTTAGATCTGTGTCTCCCTGAAAGAAAGAAAAAACAGGAGAAAAGAGCCTGAGAGCAAAAAACAGAAAATAAAAGACAAACTTGAGATCTTAATGAAAATCATCACAATTATATAAAAGATAATGCTGATGTAAAATCAGTCCAGAGCACAACTAGATGAATTCCCAGACTGACACAAAGAATCAGACTGGTTCTAGGGAACCGAATTCAAGTAATTTAAGATCCTCAAAGGAATCAAAAAAGTCAACCAAAGGGATGTCTTCTAAGTCAAAACCAAACATAAACCAAGTGATAAAATTGGAAACTACAAGGAAATGCATTTAAAACTGAGAACAGGAAACACTATTTTATACAATTTTTTGTGGCAGTCTAAAACAAGCTGCCCTGCCATGTTGTCAGAGCTGATATCCTGGCTGTTTTCAAGAAACAGCTGGATGAGATTCTCTGCTTAGTTAGTTACTAATAACCAAATGAGCTAAATAGGCCAAATGGCCTCCTCTCCTTTGTAACCTTTATATCTTGAAGTTGCAGAATTGGTTACTCTTTATGGTGGGTTTGTGAAAGCATAAGTTAATCAGGTTCACAGCATGTGTGTAACATGTGGTTAGAGAGACTATATAGTCATAAAGCTAATATCAGGATTTCTTTTCCAATTCCAAGCAATTTATTGGTTTAACAATCATGTACCCTTTCCTCTTATCACGAATTAGGTCCGTGTACGTATAAATATTTAAAAAATGATGCTGGAAAAAATTGTGAAAACAGACTGAAACTAAACAGATTTGGTTTTACTCATTGTGGCTAGGACCTATATTGTACTCCCATTTTAAAACTGAGCAACAACACATTGTGCTTTACATAGTAAAAACCTGCCCAGTGTTCTGTGAAAGCAACACGTACAGTATGCTTCTATGTCTCTTGCTATCGCCGTAAGTCTCAGGTTTTTACTCTGTTGAGCACAATAAGGAGCCCATGTAAGATCTCTGTGTATGTCACCATTACTTCTTCGAGGTGGCCTGTGTGGATGGCGAACAAGTCTGCTAAATTTATTTCAGACTTTGTGTGAAATGTTTTCACCTAACCATTCTGTAAAAGAGCTTGCGAAGGCGATAGAAGGGAAAATCATTTGCCTGTCCTCTGCACACATGTAAACTCTAATGGCAAATTCAGCTGTGTTGTCCTTGTCCTTAAATCATTGTAGGCTCCTTCAGCAGCTGTTAAAATGAACTGTGGAATTTGACGACATTATAGAGTCTACACTATTCAGTTCACACTAAGCCAGTAGCGATCTGCCTTTACAATCCCTGTGCATACTGTTCATATACACTTTTATCGCAGCATAGTTCTCGGAGGGATTTTTGAAGTGTCAGAACTTCAGCTAATATTTTAATTGGCAAAAAAAATGAGTGAACAGGGAAAGAAAAGCCTGTACAGTGTTTTTGTGACGCATCTGAAAGGGGCTTTTCATCTGAGGTTACAGCAATCATTGTCCCAGCAATTACAATGACATAAGCATAGTGAATAGTTTAACACATCTCCTGACAGCACCTTTAATATATCAGTAACATGCCTTACAGACTCTTTAGTTGCTTTCCTGAGAACTCTGTATTTTTCATATTGAACACTAGAAAATGTGAAATTGAAAACCAGCAGCAACATAAAACATCTGCTAAACATACATTTTATCTATGAAATCTGAAATACTGGATTTTCCCTGCAATAATGGGGAAATATATAATAATAAAACAAGGTAAAATTAAATACAACAAAAGATTAAAATATTAATGGTGCTCCAGGCTAGGTCAGTAGCTTACAGTGGGTGGTGTTTGTGTTTAGTATGTTTAGAAAATTTTATGAATTTATGAAGCTTGAAATCCATATCTTTTTTTTTTAATTAAAAATATGCTGTGCAATTTTCACTGACTGTGTTGATTGCAATTATTAAAATATATGTTTAAAGATCCAGAAGTCATTTATATATAGTAGACAGTATAGATAATTTATTTTTCATATAGTAGTATTTTGGGCTGAACATCATTATGCGTGACTTAATGGACATTCAGCAATAATGGGCACCATTTCCCCCTTGTTAGTCTGTTAATCTGTAATACTTTTTACTGTATGGTGAGGTATCAATTGTATTGCTGAGACTCAGACATGCCTGCCTTTTTATAGTTTTTGTATTTACCGGGATGGAAAGTTAAAGACTAGTAGAAATCTTGTACAGTACGTTAGTTCCCAGATAAAGACCTGGTGAAAACATAAAGTAATAGATGATGTGGGGTTTTGTATTAGTCACCTATCATACTGCATAATACTGTCTGCATTGACAACACCTCTGATATTAAGTGCACCAAACATTTAAAATGTCTTTGCATGTCTTTTCAGGGACCTCATTAAGAAGCTCCTTGTCACTGACAGAACAAGAAGGCTGGGAAATATGAAGGTCAGTTTCTTTCTAAGTAATTTGTTTTGTTTTCTCTGTATCATAGGTGTAATCCTCTTGGCCAGGTCAACATTGTAAAGGAGAATATTTTTTCCTCTGTTGGTGTATCTGGATAATGAAAGACTAAATATAAAAGTACTTTTTCATACATGTTAACTGTGAGAAATGATTCGTAAGCCTCTGAAAAAGGAAAGGCCGAAGGCCGTGTTTGACACTGTTAAAACCCTTGGCTTTCTTGTTGTTTCTTGGTGGCGTAACAGAAAATTGAATACAAAGACGTCTTTCTGTTTCTTAATAGAAAATACAGTATGAAATGAGAATCGACAAGGGAAAAATTAAGTCAGTGAAAAAAAGCAAATCAATTTTCAGTGGTGGAAGAATGTTGACCGCCTTTTGAAAATAACAAGGTGAATGGAGTAATTGCTGTCAACAACAAAATGTATCAACAAAGAAAGGATTGCTTATGGGACAGTTAAAATATTGCCTCTCGTATTTCAAATTTGTATAGAACTGGAATGTACTGTATGTCTGCTGGATTTATGTTAATGAAGCAATGTCACTGACAGATGAATCAGTGCACTCCACTGAAATATGTGACCTCTTATTCCTAGAACTGATATACCCATCTTTAGTGTGGGGCTGAATGGGATGCTTAAATCAAGTACTAAACAAGATGGGTCCTGGGTCTCTTTAAGATACAGTATATTACAACAGCCTTTTAAAATGATAAAAAAATGCATTTTAAATTTCAGCCGTTTCATAAACCGTGCCTATAGTAATCATAGAATGGATTAATAGGATTCATTGTTGCCATTCTTCCATCTACTTTATAAATAATTTAAGTGTTGTTTTTTACTTTTCTACATTTAGGTTCATTTTTTGTACTTTGTTTTGCTTCCTCAAACTAGAAATTCACAATATATCTGCTAAATTAAGTCTCTGAGAAAATTGTTACCCATGGCAATTGTAACTGAGCCAAAGTCATTATTACTTTAATGAGTCAAATCCTGCAGTTACAAGCCCACAAGCAGTGTCCTGTCCCTTCTTATATGACCACTAATGAGTCCGACTTCTGAAATAAAACCAGAAGGTTCAAGTACAGTTAACCTCTTACAGTTTTAAGAGAGCACTAAGAGATTAATAGACGGAACAAGGTCTTACTTTAATGTAAGTTGAGGGTGCAGAGCAGAGGTTGGATAATTCATTCCCTGTGATTATTTATATAATCATATAGATTATCTTTTCAGTGTTCAATTATTCCCATTAATGCATGTATTGATATATCGCATTAATACATACAGTTTAAGTATACTGTAGTTCACCATGTGTACATGAACTGTATCTTTCTTTCACAATCATCCAGATTTTACCACATTCAAATAAATTAATGCAGTACATCCTGATGAAGGAATTTGTTTTCAACTGACCAGTAATTTATTCTCCATTAAACAGTAATCAATGCTGTTTTTTATTGTTTTATAGTTGTAAAAAGTTGTTTTTATTGATTTAATGGAATAGCTTTAATACTTTTAATTGATTAATATAGAAAACCATTCTGAAGCACTTACTTCTAAGCCTGTAAGGGACTGCCTTTTAGCAGCTAGATTCCTGTTGTAGTAGTTGTTTAAAAATCATTCTTTATTAAACAAATTTGCAAAAATAAGTGTAAGTGCAAATAGAAAAGATTAATTTGGTATTAATAGTGACAGGCACCTTTTAGTTTAGAACTTTTCCAAACCGGGAACCAGTTTATTGCAGCACCACTTGTTTGATGTTTGTCACAGAGTCAATTTACATTCTGCTGGTAGTTATTACATTCCCAATAGCTAACTGTTGAGTAGTTGAAACTAGTTAATACCACAGACATACCAGTTCTGACTTTAGAAAACAGTGTCTAGTTTCTACTGGAACAAATGGCTTCCTATTTTTTCACCAATATGAAGTTGTAGATGTAGTTATTAAAGGACTAGTTTTTAGTACCTTTACATTATAATTAAATGTTTGATGCTTTACTGATGTATGATTTATGGTTTGGATGGTTTATGTATGGTTAGATGCAGTAGTGTTTCAAAAACTATTCCTTGCTAATTACAAAAAAGGCAAAGTTTCCACCCCATACTTTTGGGAGTACAAAACTGTGACAACCACCCATCAACCTTTGAACTTGAGCTTTTAAGTGTCTAATTCTGATTGCTGTTTATGACTATTATATAATTGATATAATTGCAGGTTCTTCACAATTTACAACTTTAAAAAATGTATGTAGAAAGAAATAGACAGTGCCTGTACATATTCCGTAATGGAATAACAGTGCTGTGTGGAGGTCATATGGAGAAGGACCATAAAGAAAATTGTGCACCTTCTTCAAGTAGGAAGAATCTCACAACTGCAAAGATAGCAGTATGAGCTGAAGATATTATGCAGGACTTTACTTTTTCACCCGTTTTCCAAAAACAAGGGAGGACATTTTGCACTATAGTCATTTCTACATCTAGCTTTGTTTAAGTGCTCACTCTTAAAGCACAGTGCAATTATGATTAAGCCTATAAGTAACACATGCTACTCATTTGCACAGATTACTTGCTTACAACTAATTAAAAAAACGTATTCTGATTCACTCATAAGTTAGCCCCAGGTGTGCATGTCGCATGCAATCATCCAGATGTTCCTTGATATCTTCTTGAACCATTTTCACCTTAAATTATATTCTGATTATATATATATAAATTTGGAATTCTGTATTAAAGGGTCTTGAAATGAGAAAATATCGAGTTTGTACAATGAAAACAATTTAGTTAATTTTATGTAGTGATAAGACTGCAATATAAAGCACATAATTAGATGCAGAGCTCTCCTCCACTTTAAGTACTAAGGCATGCAATTAGGAGTTAGCCAGGTCATACTTATAAATATTATGACAGCCATTTTGAGTCACCGTTGACCTTCATTATAAGCCATTTCACCTGCTGTTCAGTCATGTGTAAGAGGGGAATTCATAAACATACTCAAAATGTTATCTTTGTAGCTTCATGTTGTTGTTTAAAATTCTAATGTAGAAAACAGTTCCCAAAAAATAAAGTTGGAATGTTTTAATACAAAAAGTTCAAAGGTTGAACAGTATGGGACATTTGCAGAGGGGACGAGATTTTTCACTTGAATAGAATGTAGATGTTTTGGCTAAAAATGAAGGAAAAACTGGAGCCCTGTTTACACTGGGGAGAACAGTATTGGAACCTATTAAGGTGTATTTATATGTTTATATGTATCATTCCCCTGTGGCATAAATCCAGACAATGGGATAGTCATAAAAAGAGATGGGTTATATTATTATCTTTATTACTGAAAATGAATGATAGTATTAATTTACTTGAAGGTGATATCCTACTTCTGTCTTACACAAAATAATCTATAACTGCAGTCAGCACCTCTTGTGTGAAAGCTATGAGCAACAGCAGGAATATGTGTTAGAGAGCATTTTTTTTTACTTGCGTGATCTTGCTTTTTTTTTTTTGGCCTCAGAAAATAAATTGTTTTGTGAGACAACCACCACTGCTAGTCAGTGTCAAAACAAATCACAAAATGTCCATGCTAAATTCAGAATGGCCAGCATCCATTTTTCTGATCAGTGCTGAAATAGTAGAAAAGGTTTTAGGGCTTTTCATCTCAATCACCCCCTGTAGCTGACAGTAAGCAGGTGACACCTCTACCAGTTCCCTAGTTGCTTTGGATTGGTAAACAAATTGAGTTGTCTATATATTTTCTGGTAACTGTCTCGTTCAGTGTGACGACTATTGGCAGCTTTGTTGTTTGGCAATTAAAGATGCCTCAAAAATAAGTAGTCATTCATTTAGCAGACATATCACAGCACAGTATTGTGACTCACAGTTGCTCAAACTAAGTGGGCTGTGTATAAAAGAGTCTTTTTGCACAGTTGTGTTGTGTGAAACCTATAGCACACTAAGGTTTCAGGAAAGACCGCCTGTTTCTTGTTAAGTGGCAGACTCAAGGACATTAACGGAGAACGAGGCACTCTGGAAAGCAATCGCTTTGGTCTGTGTGATACCGAGATGAAAAGAAATTGCTTGTTCTTTTTTTCCTTTATATCCCCTATCAGTATCCCCCTCTAACACTACTTCTAAATGTATTTGTAAATTTAGAATAAACTACAATCAGATCTACCAAATGGGCTAGATGGGCCAAATTGCTCCTCTTGTTTGTAATCATTCTTGCGTTTTTAACAACCTTCAGAGAAGATGTTTCTGTCTAAACAGAAAAAAGGTGAGGTGCACCTGCCAGGGTGCGTGAGAAGAAAAGAAAACAAGTTAAGTCAATATTTCAGCTCTCAATAATTGTTGCAACACAGGAACTCCACACTGACAGCTCCCATGCAACCAAAAGTCACATGTACTGCCCCCTTGTGGAGACAAGATCCCTGTTTTTACCTGATCTGAGCTGGTAGTCCCCTGGGCCTTGCACCAGTATAATAGGCTGTCCATCAATGTGGTGGTCCACCAACCCTTCTTCACTGCAACAAAAACTGACCTTGTCTCCCCCAGTGTTCTCTTCTGCCCTGCAAAAGCATGTCTTGCTGAGCTGTTGGTCGACTGCAATCCGAGTAAAGTTATTTGATTAAAATATTAAATGTTTTGATCTGTGGGAATATGTGGATTACTTATGTTGGTGTTAATTTTCATCGATGTTAGGGATCTTAGAGGCCGTCTTATTTAAATGTATAATTAAAACTTAAAGCCACGGCTGAGATTTGCTTTCAACACTTTGTAACCCTCTTGCAACTATGCACATATTTACGTGATCTTCTTTGTGAAAACAGGATATGAATCTCTCTCTTGTTTCTCCTACTTTTGACCTTGACGCTGTATTATCAAGAGATGAGATCCAAAAACAGTCAAATCTTGTTAAAAATAATCTCCAGTCAATTCCTTAGATGATTAATCAGTTATTAATCTCTTTATCTTAACAATTCTGCTTATTTAAACTGCCTGCTTACTCTTGTAGCAGAAGTTTTGATCTGTGATGAATGTAATGTACAGTATTTTTCATTCACATCTGCAGAATTGGACTGAAGTCTGAGAAAGCATTAGAATTCCTACAAAGGTCATGTCCTGGTGTGTATGTTAAAATGAAATTGACATCTTAAATGTCAAATATAAAAAATGAAATATCGTTAAAAGTAATAGGTTTTTAGAAATCTTTTTTAATGTATAAAAGTTAAAACAGCCTATGACTGCTCACGGTGAGTGATGTGTGTTGCTCTTGAAAGGTCTTGGTGACACAGCATGAAGAAGAGCAGGCACAGGAGGAAAGGGGAATATAAATGTGTAACCGTAGTTTTCAAAAATGAAAGTGACATTTGATAAAGCCCAGGCATAAAATGTTTTTTGTTTAAAAAAAGAAAAGATTAAGTAAACTGGAATTCTTTTTCCCTTGGCTGAATTGTACCTGTTCTTTTGATAGTGCCAAACAATAGCTTAAAAGTGCACCTTGGTACAAAAGCATTTCGGGGGGAAGTTGACTTGCATTGGTTCAGTATAAAACTTTAAGATATAGGGGGAGAAATCTTCTCTGATGTCCATCTGAGTCCATTATAAGAGCCAAAAGCACTAATGTGGGTCAGATTTAACTGGTTGACATTTTCCCTATCAGGATCTTTGCTTTTTGATTCACAATCTGATTATATTATTTCAAGGCTGTCTGTACTGCTGGATTTTCCTTACTGTTGTTCAAGATCAATGTATGAAATGCATCTATTTGTCTTAATTAAATAATACTTAATGCAATAATAGCATAATGCATTAAACAACAAAATTATTTGTATTCTATATGATCATAGAATTTCACAATTGCTTGGTAGGTCTTTCCAGGGCATTGCAACCAGTGATCCAACCTTGCCACTATAGCCTTAACCATCCTACAATAAAAGTGCAGTGGCTTTGATGCAATGTATATTGAAACAGTCTAACAAAAAACGTTCTCTTCTTAGAATGGAGCAGATGATGTGAAGAAACACAGATGGTTTAAGTCTATAGAGTGGGATGTTGTGCCTCAAAGAAAACTTAAGGTGAGACCTCTTTTTTCTGAAATTGTTTTCTGGCACGAATGTTTTTTTTGTGAAACGTTCATGCTCTGAGAGACAGTTAACTAGGAAAGAAACCCCTGCAACAATAATGTAACTGTGACCATAAAGGCTGTGCATTGATAGAAGAGTTTGAGGTAGATATAAAAAAAACAACATTATTAATAACACATTGGAGCTGCTACTAATTAGGGCTCATTGGTTTTTCATTTTTAATTCACGCTACTGTTGCTCAGTGTATTTTTGATGTTAGGAAAAAAAGGACCCTTTTTGTTTGGCAAGTGCAAGTCGTAAAATCTCCAGACGTTTCCAGATTCTGTGGACCTAAAGCGAAATGGTTTCAATCTGGACTTTTATGAATATACAGTAAACAGTATAGCAACTTTCACAGCTTCTGCATGAAGTACATGAATGTGCAGTACATGCATATTCAGAACTGTGTCCAAGATTATTAGTGTTAAAAGTGCACAACAAATGTTATGTTTCTAATCCTTAATTCGTATTTGGGTTCCATTCTTAATGGAGGACTATTGAGAATGATATGATTTTTTAGTTCAATGTCAAGTTTACCATAACACTACAGTATACTCTTGTTCAATGTTCCTGTGTATTAGATAAACTAACACTGGAAAAAATGAATGCTTTATGTAATAAATAGGTTAACATGAACACAGCTTTCTAAACACACCTAATAATACTAATATACATATAGCATCACTAATCTGTTATGTCTTTTCAGCCATCGCTGAAAACCATCGCTAATCTGTTATGTCTTTTCAGCCACCAATAGTGCCCAAAGTATCTCATGATGGTGATACATCAAACTTTGAAGCCTATCCAGAGGATGAGTGGAAGAAAGAGCCACCTGTACCTCCTAAGGATCTAGAAATTTTTAAGAATTTCTGATCAAAACTACCAGGCAAGTGCCTGCCAGGTAAATATAGAACAGAGAGATGTATGTGATGGTTCTTGTAATAGCACTTTACTCAGAATAAAATAGTAAAATAAATGCTATCATTCATGCTTGGAAATCAACATGTGGTATTGACAAGTCAAAAAATGTACTTGCAGTGTCTGAGTTTGGCAGGCAACATTAGATCAGTCCCTAAATCTCTTGTGTTTCTGGAGCCAGTCTGGTTTATGTATTTTAGGTCATGCACATCTGCAAGTCAGAGTTAAGTGTTATGTTGTAACCCCACAGCGGGGGAGAATTTGGAATGTGGCCACACTTACAGTAGGTTTAATTGAAAAGCAGTTTTTCAGAGTTACAAAATTGTGAAGTTAAGAACACTGGCTTTCATTTGTGGATTTCTTAAATTGTATTCCTTTACTTAATGATAAAAGTACATCTGTAGCAGAGTTCCTCAGCATGTGGCCCTTCCCAGCAGCACTGCAATAGAAAATTACTTCACTCGGACAAAAAACGATTTTCTCTTCTTTAACTTTTATGGAGGACATGTGTAACATGCATTTTGTAATACAAGACCAAATAACATTTGTAATTTTTTTATAATGATTATCACTTGTTAAATAGCAGTGGTGAGAATAGTAGAATTAGTCAGTCCACTGTAACAGGTGGTGGTTCCTCAATGTGATCTGTTGTTCCAGAGTTTATTGAGAAATAGACTTATCATGTCTTAGTGTTTTATAAAATGTGTAGATTAAATGCAGTGCTGAGCTGCTACACAATAGAAATCTACTACCTGATAACTGTTGGATAAGAAAGTAAGGCTGAAAATGTTGAATTATAACTCACCAGTATCAGTCATTACATAACCATGTGATATGAACAGTCTCTTCCAGGCTTAGACCAGAAGCACCCTAAAGAAGTTACTTTGTAAATGAGTGATAAATATTTGTTTATACATTAACCCGCTAATTAGCAATAAGGCAAATCCCTTAAAACTTTGTTCAAATGTGCAGTAACTCCAAATAGTTTAGTTAATCTGCATGAGTGTACTGTTCATTAACTGTTGGTTCAAATGTGGTGCTGCATTTCAATCAGACAGCTCTATTTGTAGAATCTCACGGCTTTCTCTTCATTTTACAGATGAAGAGTCTTTGACCTGAGGGAACAACCCCCCATTTCGAGAAGCTGCTCTTCAGTTCAACTGAGCTTCCTCATACTGTATATGCAACAATCAAAGGTCCTCCTTAAACCAGAACAACTGTAAAAATGTACAAAGACACAAACATCTTTATCAGGTTATTTTTTATTTTTTTAGGTATGAATGGTTTTAATTTTGATGAAAGTTGGAAATTAATACCTCTTTAAGTTGTAAATTTGCTGCTGCACATTGTTAGGATACAGAAGGAGGTATGCAAGCACAAGAATGGCTAATCTTTAGTTTTTATAGCACTTGGGTTGTGATTTTTTGTATTGTTCAATGATTATAATGCATATTAAGTATTGGACCTTTGGTAGACATAATTAACTGGGCTAAAGGGATCCAAAAGTGCTGTAATTGTGTGTTCAGTAAAAGATAGGCCTCATTTTTAATATTTCTTTATTTATCACGTTTGTAGCGTCAAGAACATCAGAAATTCTTATTTTACTTCATTCTCTAGACTGGCCCAAACCTACAGATACATGCATTGTTAAAAGCCTCATTTTGTGTCAAGTTGTATTGCTCACCAATTGTCATAGAGGGATGAAATTTTCTGGGCTGAATTAGATACTTCATTAGTCTTATTATTTAAAAAAAAATCAAGTTGTTTTGCCACTTCAGACAGAATCAAGAATTTGGAAATATGACTTCTAGGAGTATCCATGATTGCAGTCTGCATGCTTAAGTTACATATGATACACTAATAACAGTCTGGGAATATATTGAAATTCTGTACCTTAATTATAAATTCAGACACTGCTTTGGTTAAAATTTTAATTTGTCAGCCCTGGTAAATGCATATCAGTATGTTATCCTTTATTTATTCCAAAATGGAATTCTCAATCTATGAAGATGTGGGACAGTCTATATCGGTACTCGGTTTAGTGGTTTCAAAGAATCTGTAATCATTTAGCCAATGAGAATTGTTTTTCCAGATCCTGTGCTCTTAGGCCTTAATATGGTTGCTGTGGACCAGTTATAAGTATTTGGGTCCTTTAAGTGACAGGTGTTACTGATATATGAAAAAAGGAGAGAGAATTCCTTCAGGCAGCTCAACTATTATTAATAAAATAAGTGGAATGATATTTCTATTAGACTTCCAGTAATCATTTAAAAAGCTTTTAAATTTGTGTGATCTTAAACTGCTTTGGGCCTCCTTCCAAACAATTCAATTGAGGATGTGTGGGGCTGTGAAGGTTAATCATTTGATTTTGAAACACAGCACACTGCATATTTTAGTTTTATTTTATTTTTTTTGTTGATGTGAGTAATTGTGCAAGTTTCTGAAAATTTAAATACTTGATCCTGGGTACCCTGATTTACTCTGTTAAACCAATTTTCTATTTTCTTAATTTGTTGAAGTTATTTTTTTAAGCAAACACCAAACTTTGTTACAATAGCACTCTCTGTATCATAAAGTGGGCAGAGAATGTTTTTGATACACCCATTTTTTCAATGCCTTATTTTTTTATATTAATATTTTATTTAACTGCTTTTCTTACCTGTCTGAGTGTTTCTAAGTGTGAGTTAACAGTGTTAATTTGTAGTACTGTTTAAAATCCAACCATTTTATCTAACATGGGTAAAATGTCTAATGTGCTGGTTTGATTTCTTCTTAAAGTCATGTCTATATGTTTCTGTTCACTCTGTTTAAAACCAAAGCCAGCAACAAACTGCATGGTTAAAATTTAAATGACCTTTGACAGACTGGAGAAAAACTAGTAAGTAACATAGGTAGACACGAAATACAATAAACCACGTTTCCTAAAAACCTTACCTTGTTTTGATGTTAACTCCATAATATGTATTATTGACCTCTGTAGAATTTAATTGGTTTATTAGATGGGCACAGACAACATCATTACTAATGTGTATGTACCCTGTATTATCTCACCCAAATTTCAAGTGTGTTCTCTGATAGATTGACTGTTAGCAATGCTTGTATTATGAAAAAGAAAGCCTCTGCATTTTCCTTGATGTTTCCATCTTGGCATAAACCCACCAAAAGTCTTGTAAAATAAAATATTTCCAACACATTTTACAGTGAATCAGTTTCCCCTTATCTCCACTGTGCTGATTGTATTGTCATTTATATTGATACATTGATTCTCACTAATGCAGGGTTGCATTTCTCAAACAGTGTACAGTTATTGATATCTTAAGATTTTCGAGGATAGGGATGTTCTTGTGGTTGTTTGTGCCTTTGCTCTTCCAACAATGAAAAACCTGTACAGTAGATTGATAATTTGTGGCTATACAGTTTAACCAGGCAGCTTGATGCATTTCTGGATGAACTCAATCCTTCAAGCCACGCGCCAGTCTCCGAATCCCTACTTAATAGAGGCTAATAGCTGTCCTTTAGCATAATAGACCTCTGACAATCAGAGCTGCTATCAAGAAAGATTTGTTCGAAGTTATAGGCATGATAGGTCAGAGTTTAGAGTTCTCCTTAGAAATCATGAGCACTTTTCAGTCTCCTCAACTGAGTTAATTTACAATACATTTGCGATATGAATCCAGCAAAGTTTTTTTTTTCCTCCACACTTATATGTTCTACTACAAAATGCCACAAGCCTATGTGCTTAGAAAAACATGTGGCCAAGTGACCCATAAGCAACATGAGTTAACAAGGTATAAAATTACCCCTCTTGCTTTTATCCAAAAGTATAATTAAAGGATAAAATGTTACCTTACTAAACCAATTTATGGAGCAATGCTCATAAATAGCATATGATAGCATATGAAAAAACATATAATATTCAGTCATGCTGAGAGAGCTATCTTGCTTATTTATGCACAGATAGATTTTCATACATTGTCAGCTACACCCTTGGAATAATATCTAACACAGACAACCATAACTGAATCTTTGAAAAGATCAATCTTATGATGCATTGTCACCACATTTTGGTTTTCATTTAAGTTTGCATTTTAACGATGATTAATAATACTCCTGGTTGTTTTATATATGCAGTTTGATCAACTGTTAAAAATAAAACATTCATGAAAAGTTATTTTTATCATTTTACTATTGATTCTACATAAATGTGACTTTTCTAACAAGTGTTTTAATTCTTAGTAATCTTAGGAAAATGCTCTTACACTGTGCTTAAACATTTTTTGGTTTCCCCTAGTGGATGTGAAATAGAAAACTATATTTTGTCAAATTTGCCATGGCTATTTGAGAAAGACCAGCTACCTTTACCACTAGTGCAAATGTACATCAATTAAAAATCAGTGCTGGCTCAGGTCCAGGTATGATTTCCATGTCAGCTGCAGTAACAAGTAAATAGGACAGCACAGCTTTCCACGAGTTTTACTCCCAGTCCTCTCGCTCCCCTGTATGTTTGTGTTTTAACCTTATCCTTTCCATTTGTAGTTTCGCTTTCTCCAATTGGCATCAAGATATTGCAGTGCTTTCTACTTATTGTGGCGCTGTGATTGGGCTTTACACATTTCTGAAAGTCTGTTAATTATCAGCTAATCCTGAGCAAGTCCAGAACCATTGTTAATTGGAGAATGGAATTCTCTTTATTGAAAAAAAAATCACAGTGACATACTGCAGTGAAATTAAGAAATGCATTAACTTAACGGTTGGTTGTACTGTAAAAGGCTATTAGAGTTTTTTATCAATGATTATTCTGTATCAAAATCTAAAAATCTTTTCAAACAGTTAAAATGAAGTTAAAAGTAATTGTTGTGTGTGTACTGTGGTTGTGATGTTTTGCTATGTGATACATACACTCCAGATTCCGATAAACTTTCATTATCACTGGAGTTTTCTTCTAAATGGCCCTTATTACAGAATGATCTAGTCAGGTGCCATATTGTTTTTTCTTTAGTTTTTAAATTAACATGAACTTTGTACTTATTTTTTAAAACTTTAAAACTTTTTTGTCACATAATGCTTCCAATATATTTAGGAAAAAAGAAGGACCCTAAACCTTGAGGATACACTGTAAATACAGTACAGTATAAATGTGAGCTCAAGTCAGAAAATGTGATTACTATCTGCTTCAAAGATAGTCTTCTGATTAAGTTTTTGAAAAGACTAATAAAAACAGAACATCCACTCATACCTGTTACAGTACATTGTGTCAGTGCAACTGGTTAAAGCCAGTATATAGTTCAAAGGGTTTACAAACTATTGCCGATAACTATATATTCCACATGGCATCTCTGTACTGAGCAGATACTCTATTACTTAATGTCTGTGCATGTTTTTCTTGTCCAGCCAAACACTAGTGAGCAGGAAATTCTTGGATAAAGAGATCGTTTAACTCTCAGAGGTCCTTGAAGATTTGTGCTTCCTCCTTTCCCATAATAACTTCTGATTTAGGGATAGAGATGTTTCTAGATCTGACCTAATATATTAAGTTCATTGTGTGAAGATGTGGGTAAGCAGTTAAATAAGGATTTTGTTTTTTATTAGAACATTTTATACTCTATTTTGTCATGTGGTGTCATCTGGTCACCTATCTTTAGCTCATTTGAAACAACTTGGAAAGCAGATGGCTGACCTCAGTCTCTGTCCGTACCATTCCTGTTGTGTTCCTGTTAGAACCGACCCCATAATTTTTAAAGAGACAAACCGTTCAAAGCTGTGTGCGATATAAAAATATCTGCAAGAAAGTCCTAACATTTAATAAGGCCACCATGACATATTCATTTCCTAAGGGCTAGCTAGGTCTTTTTGTACCACCAAAAATAAAGCATTCATCAAATTGATCTCAGACAGGAATTCTCTCTCAGGCACAATCTGCATGATTGCTGAATTGTGCCACACAAATGGAGTTCTCCTTCATGTTGCCAGCTAGCTGTAATTGACATTTGCATACAGTTTCAAGAAATCTTCTCAGGGACTGGAGAAATAGGTGTGATGCTTTAAAACCAAATTAAGGCTTGGCTGCTATAACATTTTTCTGGTTCTGAATATATTTTACAAGAAAAATATTACGAAGGTTTAAAACTTCTTAATTTCCCTTTAAACATCCACTGTTGTTCTCTGTTTTCTGGCATCAAACAGCTCCATGTAAACTAAACATGGACTCCTAAACTGATCACATACAGAATGTCTTTGTCATTTATTCCTTTGTCAACCCTTTTTTGTAGTTACAAAAAAGTAATTATTTTAAAATTAATCAAGAAAACTTGTAAGATTAACAGCTTTGTCATGCATCTTATTATATTTGGGCGGGGAAATATTATGTTTCTTTTACAAATCATAAAGATAAGATGTTAAGATAAAACCTCTGAATTGATGATTCTGAACATCTATGTTTTTTTCTTGAATGATTGTTTTTTTAGCTGAAATCCTGACTATGAAGTAGATTTTGTTTTTCATAGCTTTGGAAACCCAAGGGATGGTCTGTCACCTTAAATGATCTTAGCAGATTTCTCAGAAACCACAGCAATTTGCCACAGCTCTTTTGGGAGTTTTTAGATATCAGACTTTTAGCTCTTCCTTTGTGATGAAAGATATTCAAAAGCTTTTTATTCCATTTATCCCCTTTCAGTGCATGTTGCATTTTGCAGGTTTTATTACATTAGCTTAGTGACTGATATCCCTTCAAGGTGATTAAAAAAGAAAACAGTTGGTTTATGCATTTAGTTCCTATTACAGCAGCCAAGTATCATATTAAAGATAGTCCTGTCTTGCCATACCACAAAGTAATAGATATTTTAGAGTTTTCCTATTGATTTATACTACACTCTGTGTTGAATACACAGCATGCATAACACAGATGAAACTGCTTTACCATATATTGAACTAGATAACTAAAATGCAGCACCAGTACAAAACGTCTTCAGTATTGAGATGTTGCACATAGTTTTGAATGACTGGGAATTTGTCATTAAGGGCTTTTCTACCATTGGTATTAGACACTAAATGCACCCTTTCCTGAGAACATATTTTTAAAAATACATTCTTAGTTTTAAAGCTTTTATCCTCCTTGAATTCAGAAAGTGAATATCAAAGAATAGTTACAGTCTGCAGACTTTTTTTTTAAGCTCAAGCTATACACCATTCAGAAATAAGAACCTGGAGGGAGTTACCAATCGTGAATAGGGGGGCAAAATGTGACTTACTGTACTGGTTTGAACAATTAATTATTCTTCTCCAAAACAAAGAGTCTCTCCGAGATGTTTAAGGACACGTGTCTTGAACACATCTCTGTACTGTTTCAAAAGATGTCTGTGCAGAGTGATTTTGATATCAAGCTGACAAGTGTCTTGCATATCAGAAATTGATGCAAAGAAATTCAAAATGTTAAAACCCTGGAAAACATTTTGTTTCATACTAAGAAATAGTATGAAAAGGTGATTTTCAGGGAAGAACAGCTTCATCCAGTTATGGAAAACAAGAGTTTTAAAGAGAATGACAATACCCAGCAGAATCCCACCCACAGTCTGGATGACTTTGTACATAAGTGACAGCTGAAGAAACAGGACAAAGGATGTGAGCAGAATTATACATACAGTATGGACTGAAAATCCAGAAACATCCCAAGACCTTGTGGAGCTGGATTTCACTGGGAATATGTAAAATAACAGCAATAACATCAGGTTTACCAAGTCACTTTGTTGTAAAAAAGTGCCTGGAAGAGGTAAGACATAAGCCATAGATCCACATTCACTAAAATAACAGTTTTAATCACGATTAGTGTCTAATAAAAGATGTTAATGCAAAAATCTGTGAATTCCTTATACTCCGTTAGATTACTGGACATGCAGAGAAACCAGTTATTTACGACATTGAATAATCATATTATATGAGCATGCAGTTATTTATATTCTGTGTCTAGTAATTAAAACAGTGAGTGATGAAAATCTCTGCATTTTGTTCATGCTGAAAATGATACCTCTCCAACATGTTTCTGCAGAAACCTTATAAATTCTCTTAGATATCCGAGGCCAATAATGTATCGAGATTTGCTAAAACACACAAAATGCTATAAGCAAGATGAGATTATAAAAACACCTTTCAAAGGTCAGCAGCATGTTCAGGTTCCTTTGTTATTTTATGTAGTACTGTATG